TTTCCCAAGGGCTTCTAGTGAAGTCGCATATGAACTTCCAAATTTTGAAAAATAGATTTAGAAGATAAAATTTAGGTTATTAAGACATTTTCTGTTGAAGTAGGAGTACTTCAAGTTCTTTTAATGAAGGATCACTCTTTTTAAGGTGTCTGCATGCTGGACTTGATGAAGGCACTGTTTAGTCTAGATGCCTCTATGTTATTAAGCTAACCAGGGTTTAGTCTAGATGCCTCTATGTTATTAAGCTTACCAGGGTTTGATTGAAAACTGCTAACTTTTCAAGTGATGCTCACCTTTTGTTGAACAAGCGAAGTGGAGCATAAAGGTAAATAAAAAGAAATTAGGATTAAATTCCCTAGTGATGCTAATCAAAGCGTTAGTGGCAGTTTGGTCAGAATAAATAAGTAGCTTTGGGAATGAGAAGTTGGTAATTCATACTACATAAGTCTTTTTGATTAGATAGCTACATTTTATTGAGCAAGCATTAGGATGGAGTTGCTTCTGGAAATTTACTTTGTTCTAATTTTTGTGATTTCTTTACGCTTTATCTTAAATTTCTTTTGAAGATTGTTGTATTTTTTAGTTCTTTCAGATAGTAATTATGATGATGGTGCATCTGTGTGCCATTTCTTAATGCATCTTGTGCTGAGGAAAAGGTAAATAGGTGGTTAACTGGGATAAAGGAAAAGAAAGAGAAAGTACTTTAATATTTCTTAAAGTACTTTAATAATTACCTGGAACTGCAGCCATTTGGTCATTCAGAAGGTTTGACAGGAGCCAGCCCTACTGCCATCTGTTTTTCAGCCAAAAGATATTTGATAGTCAATCTTTTGTTGGTCTTTGGGTACCAAATGTTCGGAAAATTAGGGACGTAGAATTGTCCAAGCTTGTTTGAATTGCTTTTCATGATGAAGATAAAAACTGGATGTGGAAGCAAAGAAACACTGGCTAGAATTATAGTATTTAATGCTGAGTGGAAATAACAATTAACACTCACCCTTTGAAGCAATTTAGCTGTTGGGATGGTGTAAACTGGATTTTTGTGTTAAACAGTTGCTTTCTGATGTCTCTCTCAATTCTCTTTCCATTAGTAGATCATCTGGCATGTAAATGTAGGGGGGAAATAAAGAAATGTGAAGATAAAAACCTGTTGCTGAGATTGATACAATACTTTTAACAATTATACAAAATGAAGCTTAAGAAGAGTTTGACATTCTTAAAGACATCAGATATTCTGTGTTCTGAATGGGTGCTCAATTTTTTTTTCTTTCTGAACTATTAATATTTTTGCACTCGAATTCATACGTCAGTTGTTGATCTTTCAAACATTAGTTATTTTGCATAAATAGTCTTTCATTAGAGAGCTTTTGCATAGTCCCTTTTTATGGCAGTACTGCTGCGGGTCTTTATATTCTTCTTCGAGCAGCTGACCGGTTTGCTGCAAACTATAACAAATTTCCTGGACAATTTGATGGGTAAGGACTTATGCTTTCTCGTCCATACAATTCAAGTTCTTTAGGAAAAGTAAATTTATGGCAGTCTGACCTTAAGAATTTCTTGGTAGTGAGATGGATGAGGATATATCCCGGCTGAAATCTACAGCTGTTGGCCTACTCAATGACCTTGGTTGCAATGCCTCTGCCGTATCAGAGGACCTTATTAATGAGATGTGTCGGTATGGTGCTTCGGAGCTTCATGTTGTAGCTGCCTTTGTTGGAGGAGTCGCATCACAAGAAGTGATCAAGGTTTGTGTCTCCTTCATTTTTGAACTTGAATCTTGCTTTTTATTCGAAACTTCTACTTTACTGTATATACAGCCATGTTTGATCGGAGCAGTAATCTAAGTTCTATTATGCAGCTAATCACTAGACAATTCATTCCCATGTCTGGAACTTTCATCTTTAATGGCATAGATCACAAATCTCAACTGTTGTTGCTGTAGTCTCTGAATTTACAGGCATGTTCTTTCTTTCACCTTTTACTATCCTCCTGTTGTTACTCCTTATGTCTTCATAAATGTCGTGTTTTTGCTTTCTTTGAGCCGAGGGTCTATCAGAACAACCTCTCTACCTCTCTACCTGCCAAGGTAGGGGTAAGGTCTACGTACATTCTACCCTTCCTAGACCTCACCTATGGGAGTATGTGGGACTATTCTGGGTATGTTGTTATTGTTTTATTCTTTCGTTCACCTTTACGTGGTATTCTTAGGTTCACCGTGCCTGATAGTTTTTTTTGCTTTCACTCACTCCCCTTGGCAGATAGCATTTCTTCAGTTTTCAATCTTCAGATGAGTTCTACAGCAGCATGTGAAAAGGACAGTTTGTCATACTTCCTTTGATTTGCAGGAAATTTAGGATCAGTGAAAGACTTTAACAAGAGAGTACATTTCTTGACAAGCGCCTGGGATGCTGGTCCAGTGGTAACAACGCAACATGTGATGTGTGGTTTAGGTGCACGTCATGAGTTTGAACATGCTGCGGACTAAACTGATAGCTTTAGCTGTTTTAGAAACAGATATATGGGGGTTGTTTCATTTTGATATCCTATTTCATCTCATTTTTCTTAACCTGCAGTCTGCAATTTGATCTATAACTAATGCTCATTTCCCTCTATTTATAGTATACATTAAGCCCTAATCTCTTTCCTTTTAGTTCAATTTGTTTCTTTAGTCATGATCAAGTCCAAGTGACACTTACATACGAAAGACACATATTTTACTTTCAACGTTAGATATAAACACCAGATACCAGTAAATTTTTACCTTGTGAATAATTACTTTTCCCTCTTGAATCACCACTATCTATCACATGATTCCTGGTGAGTGGTGACCACTTTGAACTTGAGTTTGGACCACACTAAATATTGTTGACTTATCTCCTTGCACTAAACAGGTGATTAATCTCCCATTAATTCTAATATTCCATTAAATCACACATATTAAGTTACACTTATAGTCTTCTTTTATGCACGTCATAGTGCAATAGATAATTTAGGCCCTATTTGGAAACTACATTTTGATTAATAGGTTGTGTATTTATCATGATAGTAATTATTTCACTTGCTTCCTATACAAAAATACATATTTTATTTTATTTGTCTACTTTAGCAAGTTAAGAGAGTTTTTTTCTTCTTCTAATACTACCCTTATTATTAAATAATTATATAAAATAATAGTAGTCAGATTCAGAGTTTTTCAAAGCTTCGTCAATAAGATTAGTTTAATAAAATAGATCTTTAATTAAAATTTTCTTAAGAGGTGTATATAGTATCAAGTCAACAAGAACGAAGTAATATGAAATAGAAGGAATATCAAACTATCCAAACTATATACTATACTCAAATCCAATTATAAATGACTTTCCAAACAAGTACTAAAGAAAAAACATAAGGTCCCTCTAATCCCATGGTGGAGAAGTGACGAGCTCCACAATAAAGCATAACTAATAATTGTCCCCCCTTTATGAAAAAAATTAATAACCAAAACTTGTTTTTTCTTCATTATATTTTAAGGTCATGTAAATTATATAATATGGTCTTGGTTTGAATAATACTTTTGAAAATAGATAGAACTGGTTTTGGTAAATTTGTTTATAAGAATTATTAGGATATTCAGTACTTCTCAATATTTATAAGATGATATAACTTGTAGGAAAGGGAGCTATGCATTTCTTTGTTTTTTTTAAGCGTTAACGTACTTAAAAAATTGTTAGGGATTATTATTTGACATCTAAGATGTCACAAATTCATGTTGTGAAAACAAATTTGATGACGTTAAATGCAAGTTTATTGGTCATAGTTAGTCAAATTTCACGTATAGCAAAAGTTTAATGCATTGAGCTACCCTTAACTATTAATCTATATACACTTTCACCTCACTAAAATAAATTTATATGATTTTTAATAAATATAAAGACCATGTGTCAATCTCTTTGTTGTTACTATTTTGGTATCTAAAATAAAATAAAAATAACAAAGAAAATTTGTGCTGCTACCAACTCTTCTTAATCATTTAATGGGTTGCTTCACTATTTTTAATGCTTTGCTCAATTCAATTTTTTGTTTGCTTTCAAACATTTCACAATCAATGAATATAAATGGCCTATAATAATAGTTTAATTATTGAGAAATTTGCTATATATATAAGTCTAGTGGTATAAACCTTATTACTTTATTAATTGTTGGTTTAATTAATGGTTCCATTGGAATGGGTAGTTGTGTGTTGTGGTCAGTTCGATGTACGAAACATACATATTTATGAAAAATTCAGGTAAGGGTTGCATTTTAAGGGATGTGACGCAGACAACTTATCATATTGCAAATATTAATAATTATTTTTATGACTCGAACCCGTAATTTATAAGTCACACGGAGATAATATATTTTAAGCCAGACATTAAAATATTAAACACACACACTGACATTAATATCAGATGAAGTTTTATTTCCTTGATAGAGAACAATAGCTTATAATCTCATTACACATGTCAAGATTATATAGATTCCCCTAAACTTTTCTCTCTTTCCTGATTCCCCCATCACTTAAAATGCAAACTGTCAAGCATATATTCACTAGACGCGGAGTCGGAATTTTCATTTATAGGTTTCGAACCATAATATATATTTCTTTTGCTTATTGTGTTCCGAATAAATTATTCATACATATTACATGTATTAACCCCTAATATTTGATGGATATAACATTTGAACCTAACTCAACCTGAAATACTGACAAAATCCATATAAGGAGATCAAAGGACCTATCACTATCGATGTAGGAGAATTAACACCCCCATCACGTCCAGAGCTGGAAGCCTAGTACATCGGTGAAGCACAATAACTAGGATGATGTTGACTCTGCTACCATGTAAAAATATAAAATTTGGCTCTAACTGAACCTCAGAAGCTAGCTTATATTGCCGAAGTCCATATAAAAAGATGAAAGTACCCTTCCCCACCAATGTGGGAAACTTAACAAAATTGATAATTCAAGAAAGAAGGGCATTTATGTAAGCCACTGTAGCAAAAACTAGTACAATTTTCTCATGATTTATGAATCCCATTTTCATTATAGGAGAAAGGTCCTCAATCTTGAAAAGGACAGTTTGGTAAATTTGGTACATGTAGTTGTGCTGTTCATTGTCTTCACTTTTGTTCCAAAGAACTCCATGTAATAGTTATAGGCTAATAGCTTCTTGCTATAGACTGTAATTTTCCTCAAACTTTGTTCCTAGGATTCACTTTTTCTGTAAAAAATATAGCTTTCTTGATTTGTGGGTGTCTGAGATTTGGTGTTCCGTGTCCGGTACTCATATTGAAGCTCTGACTATAATCTTGATTCACGGGCTTTCTAGAAGAGCTTGAAACCGAGACGTCTGATTAAAGGTGTGTTTGATATGTATTTCAAGAACAGAGGAGCAATAGAAAGGCCTTCAACAAGTGTAGTTTCTAAAAAATGGAGTCTTTTTCTATGTCTTGGAAGTTTTTGTGCTGGAATGTTCTTCACAAACAGGTAAAAAAAGAATCACTTTTTTTTAATAAAGATTGAATTTTTATAGTGATATTTCACTTTTCTTGTTTTGATTGGTTACATTTTAAGTACTGGTCAGTTGGATTTTACTATTTGATATGTTATAAGTCTTCTGTTTGATTTGCTATATTTTAGTGATTCAGAATGAACTAACTTTTAATTTTTTGTTATTTTTGCATTTTATGATACTTTTGGCTTTTACCTAATTCCGCACTTGTTGCAGTTAACTTTTAACTTATTTCTGGCTGCTGCAACTTGGAGTGACTGAAAGATCAATTCTTTTTTGGTGTGTTTTGAGGAATACAGTCAAATGGATTTATAACGATATTATTTGTCTGGATATTTTTTTGGTTGCTATAGCGAAATACTGTTATAAAGAACATTAGAATATAACATAACATGAAAAATCGTTTTAAGGAAAAAAAAAAAAACTTGACTGTTATTGTGAAATGTTGTTATAGATTAGAAACTGTTTGTAGATTTGTGATATCTTCATTACTTCTATTTTCTCCTTTTAAATCTACTTTGATATGTGTTACTTCAACCGAGAGTCTTTCAAAAACAGTCTCTACCTCCATGAGGTAGGCATAAGATCTGCGTACACTCTATCCTCCCCAGACCCCACATGTGGGATAAAATCCCGGTTATGTTGTTGTTAATGTTTTGAGAAATGTTTATTTGGCAATATTGTAAGCATTTATCATTGCAGAATGTGGATAATTTCTGAAACAGAAAGTGGAATTACAAGAACAACTACAGTTGAAGCTGAAAGATTGAAATTAGTTTCAGAAGGTTGCATTACAAAATTTGTAAGTATTCCTAATTATAGGTAATACAAAGAAAAAAAAACTCCCAACTTAAAGTTCATTTTCTTGTTATTTACCTCAATGAAACATCTTAACTTTGATCTTTTTTGTTTAGTTGCAGCAGCAAGATATAAAACTTGTATCTAAAGATAATTTTGGGATATTAGATAAAACCATATCAAATTTGGAGATAGAGTTGGCTGAAGCAAAGGCAGCTCATGAGTCGATTCTCAGTGGGATTCCGATATCAGAAGAGATCGAAAAGGGTGAATCACGAAGCAAAAGAAAATATTTTATGGTGGTAGGAATAAACACCGCATTTAGTAGCAGAAAAAGAAGGGATTCAGTTCGCGCTACATGGATGCCACAAGGTTTAATGACCGCGCCTATGCCTTAACTCGTCTCGTGCTGGCATTTGCTTTGTCTGAGTGTTGACATTGTTGATTTTAATATGGTGAAACAGGTGAAAAAAGAAGGAAGCTGGAAGAAGAGAAAGGAATAATCATTCGCTTCGTTATTGGTCATAGGTGGGGGATTTTGCTTCTGTTGAACATCCTCTTCTGTTCAATTAACTAGACCTTTTCTTCATAGTGGTAGTTTTTTTGAGTTAAGGGTCGAAATATCATCATCGTTAATGATAGTTCAGATAGGAAACTCACGAAAATGTAGTACTTCAGGTGTGTTTTTTACCATTATCTCTTAATTTTATAATCGGAATTGTTTTGATATAATGTAGATAGATTATAATAACTTCAGTAAAATTCTGTTGCATTATGATAGCTTCTGAGTGGGCGTTTCTGACATGAGCATAATGATATTTTTGGAGGATCCGAGCAACATAGATTCTGAGTGAACACCTCTTTATTAGGATCTTAAGCTCTTTGACTGAAGTTCATTCCGTCCCTATACCATTACACAAAATGCTATCCTCTTTTGTCTGCATTAACTCTTGTTTACACTCTTGTATTCGATTAATAGACAATATAAACGTTTATATGTTGACTTAAAAGTTACAAACTTGTTCTGCAGTGCCACATTAGGGGGCATATTAGACAAAGCTATTGAAGCTGAGGACAAAAAGCACGGTGATTTCTTGCGTCTGGTAATACCTTTGTCTCACATTTCCTTTAATCATTCACTTTACTCTTGTGAATCACAAGTTATAATTGATGTATTCACACGTAAAAAAGACGATACATCACTCTGCTGCCTTTTAAACAGGATCATATTGAGGGTTATCTTGAATTGTCCGCCAAGACGAAGACTTACTTTGCCACTGCTGTTAACTTATGGGATGCTGAGTATTACATCAAGGTTGATGATGATGTTCATGTCAATATAGGTAACCAAATTTTTTCGTAATTTCTCTTCCTTGACATACATAACACTTGGCCAAAACCATCACTTTTCAATGTTATATAGAGATTGTAAGACTTGTTACAGCAAATTCAAGCTTGATTTGTTTATTTCTGTTGCAGCAACACTGGTGGAAACATTAGCAAGGCATCGTACAAAACCACGTATATATATCGGGTGCATGAAATCTGGTCCTGTCCTCTCCAGGAAGTAAGGGCATCCATTTTTTCTGTAAAATTGAATCTTTAAGTTTCATTTTTGAACATTTTGTTGTTTTCAATGGCAGGGGTGTAAGGTATCATGAACCGGAATATTGGAAATTCGGAGACAAATATTTTCGTCATGCTACTGGACAAATATATGCCATTTCGAAAGACTTAGCAACTTACATATCAGCAAACCAGTTAAGTATCTTTTTCTTAATAAAGTTCGAATAAAAGAATAGTTATTCTTCTTTCCTATGTTGCTCGTACTCCCTAAAAATGCTTCCATAAACATATCGAATCCTCCAAAAATGCGTACCTTTTGGAAGATCTGACACACACCTCTCAGTATTTTTGAAGAGTACGTACAGCCTCTTACCTATGTATAATCTTCTTGATATGTAAAGGCATGTACTTCATAAGTATACAAACGAAGATGTGTCACTGGGATCTTGGTTTATTGGACTCGATGTGCAGCATATCGATGATCGCAGATTGTGTTGTGGAACCCCACCTGGTAAAGCACACTTCTTTTTTTCTTCTGTATAACAGTATTAATAGTTACTCGTTGGATTTCTTTGGGACATTTCTCACTAAGTGATATATGAATTACTATTTTTTGTCTTCATTGAAAATAGTTTCATGACTTTACTGTTATAGTAGGTAAAGTTCAGTGAGCGTAATACATGTGTGTGAGTTGATGTCTAACGAGACGTTGTGAACAAAACTAGTTAGTTTCATCTGTGTGTTATCAAATTTGATATGAAAAGTACTTGTCGATGCAGATTGTGAATGGAAGGCACAGGCAGGCAATGTTTGTGTTGCATCGTTCGATTGGACCTGCAGTGGAATATGCAGGTCTGTCGACAGGATGAAGGAGGTCCATCGCCATTGTGGCGAGGGAGAGAATGCACTATGGAAAGCTGCATTCTGAGGACATTCACTATGTCAAAATGTCACATTCTTTTGGTCAGAAGTACATATTATACGTATGATCAGAGGCGAATTCAGAATTTAGAATCCAAAGTGGATTCAAAATAAGTGTAATTGTATTATATGTATACATTTTGTCTTTTTTTTTTTACTTCATATGTATACATAGTTCGAGCTGAAAAGCAGTTGATTCAGTTGAATCTGCAGAAGACGCTCTGAAGTTTTCCTCTTCATAGGTTTAGCTGTGGAGATGCCTACTACATTTTTGTAACAGATAAACTCACATTATTGTATATCAGTACTCCAATAATGCAAGTGGAATGAATTGTTTGAGGATTTAACTTATAGACACCGACATTGTAAAATTTATTCCTATATAACTTCGACTACAAAATCTATTCAGACATAATTAAATAAATATCAAATCTTAAATTTCTTCGGAATTATTGTTCAACAAATATGTTGGTATTAGTGGACATCTCAACTAATGTTTGATAGCAATGTTTAAAACATGTCGGTTCCCTTGTAATAAAGCAACATGTTACATTTGTGTCAACTGTCAAGTAAAATAATGATTATTAAATAGGTAGGGAAACACACATATGGAATGTTGGAGGGACAAATTAGCCTGCACATGGAAGAACAAAATTCCAATATAAATCTAAATAACTATGCCCCAACTGATCCTCCGCTCTTAACTAGAAGTTTCGGATTTGAATTTTGTGATAGGAAGAAATTCCTCCTTAATATAGTATGACCATTGAAATATGAGCTATCTATAATAGAAGACTATAAGTTGAAGAAATATAGTACTAGTACATAATACATTTTTTTTTGTTGTCTGATACCTATATTTAACCCCGACAACAAAATTCAGATTTGCGCCGGAAAGTTCCACATTGGAGGGTAAAGTGCTCACTAACATAGGTGGCTTCGTATTCGGGGAGACTCAAAAGTACGTAATACATTTGCCCTTTCATTTATATGGTTAATTATTCTTTAGATTTGTTTGTGTATATTAACCTAAGAGTGATTAAGCTATATGTGGAATGACAATTGCAGAATTTCTTTTTTCTACTTTCACTAGGAAAGTCATTCTCCTCATTTTTAAGAACTTGCTTTCTTAGAATTTTTTTTTATCCAACGAAACATAAAAAAACCAAAAAAACACTATAAATCCCTCTCTTTTTCTTTGGAAATATTGACAAGTTTAACCCAAAGAAGAGAGGAGGGAGGTTGCTCTTTAACTATCAAACACTTGGGAGTTTCAATGAGTATATTTGTAAATAATTTGGTGATCAGAGTTATTCAGTATATAGATTTGTGAAAGGTAATAGATATATATTTGATGAAATGATCAAAGTACGAGCAAGTTATCCCGAACTATTGTTATTAGAAAAATAAAGATAGTGGTCCTTAAAAGAAATTGGTCAACCTTAATAATACAAGTAGAACAACAACCAACATATATAAAACCTTCCCGTTTCATAACTTGATATGACTCTATTTAGGTGGTTGTTATGATGCCGACGTCATTTTCGACAAGTGTTTGTAAATCCGATGGGAAATAGTTTTGGCTAGTGATATTGTGTCAATGAGTGTGCGATTCGGAAAGTCCTTGGTCTACATACATTAGTAGTCCTTGGTTGGTTTCACGATTATCGAGTTGTAAATTTGCTGATGAATACTTACTGATCAAATACTTACTCAAACTCAAAGTTATTATATAATGTTGATGTTAAACCATTTCAATATCCTCCAAACATCTTTATGAATAAATGCACCTTAAAAGCATTATACGAAGAGTTGTGATGTAACAGAAAAGTTTTATAGTACTAACAATTTTTTTGTAACGCACACATACATAATCAAGTTAGTGAGACAATAGGTAACAAAAAGATGGTGTTTGATTATTTGTTAGACGGATCCGTTGGAGATGGACAATGGATGTGATTGACAAAGCACTGACGCCTGAAAATCCAAAGTGGACGCAAAGCGAGCACATTGGCGTCCCAGGTGAAGGAAGAATTTCTGCAAACTAGTAAAGTCAGGTAGATTGCGTGCGAAAAAATAAAATAAAATATATATATATATATTTATCCCAACGGAATACTTTTTTGTTGGGCGTGGCCATTTGAATCATGTCTTCAATATTACTTATGTAAAATTTTATGCTATGATTATTTTTGTGGTTGATATACGTATTGACACCGCAATGGATGTAGATAATGATCATGTGTTGTACAAAATCTGTGGAATTCATCCAAAGTAGCCAATACAACAAAGACAAAGAAGAAGAGAAGTGGTTCAATGTCCCTTCTACACAAACCAATCCAGAAGATAACGTTCAAGATCGGCAATGTAAATTCATTAGGCAATTTTCATCATTGTAGGTTCTGAAACAAATGTGTTGCAATTGTTGTTTAGAATTAAGGTTTATTCATGTTGGTATATATATTTCTATTATATAGAAGAGTGAAGCCAACCAACGACCAGTGGCAAAACGGAAAATAAATCAAACATAGAAGGGCAAATATCAGTGGCACAACGGATATTAAATCAAAAATACAATGGCAAATTATAACTTCTATACTAATATAGAAATATATAGAAATATATATATATTGATATCTGTGCACTCCTGGTCAAAGGAAGGTTGTATTTTTCTTTTTTTATAGAAATATTTTAATCTCTAGAATCATCTATAATTCTCCACTCTTTCAATGAAAATAAATAAATATCTCATTTGCATCAGATTTCTTAGATTTTCAAGACTAAAGGATTAAACCATTGGGTGTTTTCAGGTATGTTTTATTCACATTTTTTGCTTAAATCTGTTCGATTAACTTTGTGGGGATGTATGAATCCTAATCCTTATCATTCATTCTGCTCCAGTACTGATAATTTACATGTTAAGATCAATTAGGGAATTGCAGAGCGAGTATATTTCCGTCAGTAGAAGAGACTAATTATTTGGCTAATTTTGGATTTTCATTTGAGTCTTGGCATTTGTCTAAGGATTGTTTCTATATTGGTTTTGGGTTAGACCAAGTTCCATTTTAAGCTATTTATTTATTTACTTTAGTTCTTTTAATTTCTCATCTGTTGTGAGCTTCTCCAGTGCTGTGAGCTTCTCCAGTGCTGTGTCTAAAATTGATTCTTATATTCTTATTATTATTGCAAAGTCCTTGGTCCTTCTCCTTGACAAGAAAAACTAAAATTATATTATATATATAACAAGAAACACGACAGAAATGAAGGGACGTCTTCGGTAGGAAAATGTTGTCAAAAGTAGTACATATTTGGAGAGTGCGAGCAACATAGATTTTCACTTTGGGTAATTATTTCATAGGATTAATTAATTATGAAAGAGGTGATATTCTAATCCATCCTTTAAGCTGCAAATTCAACTAATCCTAAATACTTTTATGAAATTTATTTATATCTAAAGGTCAGAAACATCTGCGATGAAGGGTGAAGTTGCAATAATAAACTTAACAAAATTCAAAAAGTTGGAACATGTATGTTTAAAATCAAGGGAGGTATGAGAGCCTGCTTGGAAAAGAGAAGAAGATTGTGACTTGTCTCATTGTTTTATGAGACCTACTGGGAAACAATTTTCTCCACTCACTCCTCAATAAAAAGCTGATTGGAGACGATCTCTTCCTCGGTCTTTGTGGAAATGAAAATCAATTCAATTATGGGGTTTTATATTGTTTTCGTATGTTTAAATATCGTATGGAGGGTTCAAAGTAGTTATCTTTGTAGTGCACTTAGGCTTCTAAAGTGACTCTTTTTTCATATTTTCTAAAGTGAAGATACCAAAGATTTGGTCTTTGATCTATTCTTATTACGACTGTGAGACTATTTCAGGCAGCAACTGTGATTTGTGAAATCCAATGACATGGTGACTATTGGTTATAGAATACAGAGAAAGAAATATAACTATGGCAAAATTGAGTAATGGGGATGTTAAAGAAAGAGTTGGCGTGTCTTTCTCGATGTCAACTCTTAAAATTTTGCATTTTCGTCTTGGTTAGTCTATGATGTTGGCTTTTTGTTTTTCTATGAGAGATGTTGATGTGCTTAATTTCTTACTTCTTGCATGCGTGTCATACAAACATTGAATATCTGTCATTAGAAGCATAAGATAACATTTTCTCTTGTTATTGATATTTCACCTAGCCCGTTTGATATTAAGGCAGAGAAGAGATTAAAACCTTCTGCATTCCACCTTATCTTGGTCTTCAAATTTATTTGTTTTTTAAAAAAAGGTCCGATCGGCTTAATTTTATAACAAATGAACAGTATGCATAAAACAGTGCCCAGGATCATTCCCTGTTCTAGGATTAGGTTGATAGCTAAAACAAAGAGCAGTTCCACAAGAAATTTTTTTTTATCATGTATACTTTTCCCTTCATGATTAACCTTGTCTATGGTGATCTTTCACATTTGTCGTAATCAATTTTTTCCTTATTTGCTATGTTATTGATTTATTGTAATCCAACAA